CCCCAAAACCCCAAAACCCCAAAACCCCAAAACCCCAGCATATGATATCTCATTGAACCTCCTTGATACAATTAATAGAAATGCCCAAATTTGATTTTAAATAGCTCTTTCATACTCTTCTCCTGTACTTCAATCTTATCTTGGTCTGCACCCATCTAAGAATAAGCATTTAATTGCTTACCGCTTCGTAATTTCTAGCCATTGGCTTGTTCTGGTTCCTTGTGTGCAAAGCAGAGGTGATGAGAGAGGGGAGGGGAGGAGGATTAGGGTGTGGGTTGGAAGCAGACTGAGCAATGTTCTCTTCAGGGGCTTCTTGGTGCTCTCTGATGGTTGCTGAAGGTTAGAGGGAGATTACCCATTTTCCCGAAAATGTTGTTGACAGGGGGTTCTTTTTGTTCTTCAGGGATAGATCTGGGGGTTAGAGGGAATTTACTTAGAGTTGTTCCTAGAGGGAGGTTTAGATGGGAAGAGGAGGTAAGCTTACCTAATTTGGTTCATGAATTTTGAAGAATTCAGCCTTCCAAATGATTTATTCATTGTGGTCTAAAATATCAGATTGTAATTTACATTTGTGTCATAAGAGGTGCTTGTTACTTTCAGAATTGTGGTTGTTCTTTTTAAGGACTAAATTTGAGCATTAAAAAGCTACTTTATTGTTCAAAATGATGACTTTGGTCCTATTATTAGATCTGATCTTGAGTCAAACTATGAAGATTAGAGTTGAGCAAAACTTATCGACGCAGAGGTGAATAGAATATTTGGAATCAGGATAACTATCAAGAGAATCCTGTTATAGTCTCTATCCCATTGCTCTTCCTTGTTTATCAATGCTCTAAAGAAGTTAGGATGAAGAGAATATCAGCTTACCAGAAAATGAAACATATAAGAATGAAGACTTCGTTGAATATTTCTCCAAAGTTATCTGAAAATACTTTAAATGGTCTTACCCCAGCGACATAGCTGAGGTAGGCTAACTGAATGATAATAAGAATTCCAAATAATATATTCTTATCAAATTCATAGGTTGATAAAGCCAATGAGGTGAACAAAAGTCTTCGAGACAGCCAAACAATTATGAAAAATCTAGCTGGAGCATAATCTTTTGTCCCAATAAACAGTATCTTTGTGTACCATAAATCATTTAAGCTTTCTAAAAGTCTGCATTCCCACCATTTATAAATGGAGAATATAAGCAATAAGACTCAGGCCAAAATCGAACAAGAAGCGAATATAAACGAAGTCCTGTTATCATTCAAACTTGAAATAGTTTGCACTTCTTCAACACTGATCATTAGAAGGAAAATATAAGAAGTACAGATTATTTGAAGCCAGATTCCTCATAAGAATAAATTCTTTCACTCTCTAAAAAACTGAAACCTATCGCTGTCTGGCTCTTGATCTTTTCCACATAAATATAGGAATATGACAATAATGGCAATCATTAAGATGAGGAACATAACAAATATAAAATCAGTCGCGTTTGAGATTGAGCTTCCTGACTTAAACCCAAGCAAGTACAGATACCAGTTTTCTTGCTTATAATGAAATTTATCAAAGATGTCATCATGAGATATAAACACTAAATTGTTCGGAATAAAGTTGAAGGAGAATAGTAGGTCCTTGGTATACCTGAAAAAGTCAATCACATCTTCTCCCACATCAATGTTCATTAAAGGCAAAAGCATTAGAATTTGAGTGTAATAAACAACTCCAAGAGTATTGTATGATGGAGTTTTACATTGCCAAAAAGATAATAAATTAGCAATTATGCCAATACTCATTACTAGTAAGTAAGCAAAACCAAAGTAATTGAGATTGTCAGAGAGTTTTCTTGGAGTTCAATCTCTACTATTTTCATTTGGAATATAGCTGAGAGGGCAATCATGGCAAATATCTTTGGAGTTTTGTGTTCCATTATAGCATTTATAGCCATGCTCTATGGTACAAGATGAAGAACAACCATCTCCATTCTGTGTATTACCATCATCACATTTCTCGTTTCCAGCTCTAAGCCCATCACCTCAACTAGTCACACAATATTCAGGGTTTGAGGTGCTGTCTTGATAATACCCTGCTGGACAGTTGAATCAATAATCTCTAGATGTGGGAGATCCATATCTACAAGCCCAATTGGTTTCTACTTGGGATCAATCTGATGCTCAACCGTCTCCACTTTGAGTGTTTCCATCGTCTCATTTCTCAGTACCTGCTTCAAATCCATCCCCTCAAATTGTCACACAAGTTTCTGGATTAGCTGCATTATTCTGATAAAATCCTGGTTGGCATTGCTGACATACATCTTTTGTTGTTGTAGAGCCTCCAATACACACCCATCCTGCTTCTACACTCGAGCAATCAGATTTTCATCCATCAGAGTCATTTGTGTTATTATCATCTCATTTTTCTGTTCCTGCCTCAAGGCCATCTCCACATCTGGTGACACAGTACTCAGGATTTGTTGCATCATTCTGGTGCCATCCAGATGTGCATTCTGTACAAACATCCTTTGAAAGTCCTGAATTGTAAAGACAGACCCAGCTAGTCTCAACTGTGGAGCAATCTCCTTTGCATCCATCTGAGTCATTTGTATTTCCGTCATCACATTTCTCTGTTCCTACCTGAATGCCATCACCTCATTGAGTCACTCATGTAGTTGGAGTGGCTGCATTATTCTGGTACCAGCCTGTTGTACAGAAAGTGCATTCATCTTTAGCTGTAGTTGATCCTCCAGTGCATACCCAGCTTGATTCCACTTGTCAAGTAGAAGAGCAACCATCACCATTGTTGGTGTTTCCATCATCTCATTTCTCAGTTCCAGCTTTAAGGCCATCTCCTCAAATTGTCACACAAGCAGTCTTAGCTGTGTTTGGATAAGTTCCAGCACTGCACTGAGTGCATGTATCAACAGAAGTGGGAGTACCACCTGAGCATACCCATCCACTAGTAATTGAAGTTCAGTCAGAACTACATCCTCCAGTTCCAGCTGTGCTTCCATTGTCTCAAACTTCTGAGCCTGCTCTTTTGCTGTCTCCACATGAAGTAACACATTGAGTAGGATATGTCGAGTCGTTTTGGACGTACCCATTTCCGCATTGAGTTCATACATCTCCACTTTCAAATGTAGAATTAGAGCAAACCCAACCAGCCTCAACTCCAGATCAGTCTGACTTTCACCCATCAGAGTTGCTGGCATTGCCATCATCACACTTTTCAGAGCCAACTTGCATTTTGTCTCCACACTGCGAGGCTCATGTTGTTGGATTGGAAGTAGGGGAAGGATAGTATCCAGGATATCAAAAAGTGCATGAGTCAGCTGAAGAAGTTGTCCCTCCAGTGCAATACCATGATGATTCAACTGTACAAGAGCCACTGCATCCATCTCCACTCCTTTTATTAGAATCATCACATTCTTCTGTACCTGCTCTCTTACCATCTCCACAAACAGTTACTCAGGTTGGTCTAGATGATACAGTCGTTTTTGAGTACCCAGCTGCACATGCTACGGTTACCTGCTTTGGAGAATTAATGTATTGAGGATAATAGAAGTTTGATGTTGGTATCACTTGTAATGATTGTCCTGGGTATGACCATTTAATTTGCATATATGCAGGAGAAGTATTCTCCATAAAGAATGCATACCCATAATAGAATTGTCCAGCTAGTTAAAATCAACTCGAAGCTTACCTGTCAAACTAGCAGTGGCAGTTGCTGTCCCTCATCAAGCTCTGCTAATGATCAAATTTCCATCAAGGTAGAACAAAAGGTCATCATCTACATCGATCCAGAAAGTGTATGTCCCAGTCACAGGTGCTTGAAATCGAAAGTGCATCTATGATTAGAATTGGTTAAGGGAAGAATTTATAGTTGCTAGATTATCCTGTAATTAATAGCTTCCTTTCAAATAAGTATTTAACAGGAAGAGTGTTTATTCTCTCAAAATTATGCAAGGCATTTAGATTTGATAAGAACATTGATGTCTAAAGTTGATTTATTATAATAAGAGTGATAATACCGCAGGACTCAATCCTTAGCTACTACAGAAGGTCTTCTATTATCATAAAGCCGTTAGAATTGATTGGCTAAATAGTAGAAAGAAGCAAAGAAATACTGAAGGAAGGTTCCTATGAGCAAACTTTGAATAGTATCATTAAATTAATATATTTCTTCATCCTAATTTATCAAAGTAATCCTAACTGTAAATAAATGCATAATTTGATTATTTTTCTTTACTATTTCTTCTTCGGGAATTAAAGTAACAGATATTCATTAAGAAAGTTTAAATATTTGATTGAGCCAAGCACACAACATTAATAGTTGATTTTAAGATTGGATGTTCCGTATTTATTTAAACAGAAATTAATACTTGCATAAAAAATTTTGCTGTTCTACTTAAAGCAAGACAATAACTAATAAAATTCCTTCTTTCTGATGGTTTCCATATTGCTCCCCATAAATAATTGTGTTTTAGTACTTAATAACAAGCTCTAACTGCATTCTTACTTTTATAGATGCATAATCTTCTCTGGTTCCGTAAATAATACCAGTTCCATAGTTTACATTAATGTCATTTTCATAACTTGTTAGTTCCCTAGTGCCTGTTCCAAACCGGTTTGGAAAATATTCATATAAAATTCCTCCGCTCTGATATCTGATCACATTGATGGTAATGTCTCCAGGCCTTGTTACAGTGTAAGTGTATGAATAGACTCCTGAAGCATAGCTCATTTCAGCACTGACGTCACTATCAACCACTTGTTCTCTTCCAGATGTAGCCACACATTCATAATTCCCAGCAAATGAACACTTATTCTTAATCTCTGCATAATATCTGTACCCAGTTGTATCTGAAACACTAATCTTGAAAGCCGTCCCAGCAATCACAGTAGTCGTGTTCAAAGCTATTTATAACTCAAATTATTCCACTCTTTCACCCAATTTCCCACACAAAAAGTTTAAAGTCTGGCCGCAGTGTAGGTAATTCTTATGGTATACTTAATTTTCCCTGAGAAATTGAAGGGTGTAATTAAGGAGACTTTTAGTATTAAAAGAGATTTTTCTAGAATTTTCTTAAGCATGGGGAAGGCAAATCGTGGTGATGAATAGGGAGTGATAAGCATCCATAATGGTTGGAGAGAAAGAGAAAGTAACTTACAGATGGTCTGAAGGTCTCTAGTCGTGTTTTTGATTGTTGTGCTAGAAGGATTAGTGAGAGAGGTTGGAGGAAAGGAGGATTAATAATAACGGATAGTAAAAATAAAATTTGGTAAAGTTGATATTTGGGGTGAAACTAGAGTATTTTTAAGGTGCTTTATGGACTTTAAAAGTTATTTTAGATATATAAAGTGAAATTTGCAAAGAAGAGTGTAATTGGAAGCGAAAAGAGGTCTTTGTAGAAATTTTTTAAAGTAATTTCAGGAAATCTTGGAATGGAAGAAGATTTTCAACTTAACAATTTTATCAAACTTTATCAAATTTAGTCTTTGCTGAATTGAAGTCAGCCAATAATTACTACCCTCTCTAATATTTTTCTCTATTTTTTAATCTGAGGAGTCAACAGATTTAAATCTGAAATTCTCTTGAACTCCTAATTGATAATCTATCATCCATTTCTAACTTAATATTTCTAAAATAACGAATATGTCAACTAACTTTTGAAAATTCTGCTCTGCAAAATCAGGGTCATTTTTCCAAATATTTATGCCTTACACTAGTTTTAATTTAGGATTATTGCCTCTAAATCTCCTTCTTTAATAAATGTAATTTAGCGTAGGTATCTTAACAAAACTTGTTGTTTTTAAGCCTGATGGTATCTTAATTAAGGTAAAGAAATCTTCGTGTAATCGAAATCTTATAAAGCAGTCTTATGTATTTTAATGCTAAACAATGAGTCTTACCTATACTGTGCATGTTCTTGGTCAGGATCAACGATTGTGATCTCTACTTTAGGCATTGCAGTTTCATTATGCTCTGAAAGATCTAGAAAATTTCATAAATGAAACAGAAATAATTTGAGACATCAACTTGGGGATAGTAATTCCATAAAAATTACAAATTGAGAAGGAGAATTTACCATGATTTGGCATCTTGAGCATATCTGAATTTCCGTTTATTGGTCCAATCTATATCTCAACTCAATCATGGGAAAAAGGAAGATAAAGGTTTATAGGATTAATTGTTAGCTTAGAAAAGTTGATCTCTTTTACCTAAAATCTAAGCATTTGGGAGAAAACGAGATAACTTCGATAGTTAAAAAGCTGAAATAAAAATATTAAGAAGACTTACTTTAGCAAGACATCAGCTCGCTAGTATTAGGATAATCATTACTATAGAGAAAAGAGTCAGACAACTCTAAAAAAATAATTTAAAAAAGACAATCAAAAAGTATCGACCATCTTTACAAACTTACAATGTCTTCAATTCACAGTGTGAATTTCCAAATTCATCCTATACAAAAATAAAACCTCTCCCCACATACCCCATTCAAAATCCATTTCTATACCCTCAAAACCCCTCTAAAACACCATAAGCCTACCCCATTTTACACTTTTTAATATTTTATCAATCCTATTATTTCCCTTTGGGGTTTTGGGGTTTTGGGGTTTTGGGGTTTTGGGG